CAACCTCCCCCTCCTGGGTTCAAGCGATTTTCCGGCCTCAGCCTCATGAATAGCTGGGATTACAGGCGCGCACCACCACACCCGGCTAATTTTTGTGTTTTCAGTAGAGTCGGGGTTTTGTGTTTTTAGTAGAGACGGCGTTTCACCATGTTGGTCGGGCCGGTCTTGAACTCTGCTGCTCTGATCCAATTTGATAATTGCCACTTTGACCTTGTGATCCGCCCATCTCGGCCTCCCAAACTGCTGGGATTACAGGCGAGAGCCACCGCACCCGGCCTCCCTTGTAGTTTCCATCTCTTGGTCAGTCACGATTTTCAGTCCCTGTTTTTTCAGTATCTTCCTTGAGATGCAAGTTTATTGATCATTTAAGCCGTCACGTTTCCTCTGGTGGCTCTGTTTCATCAGCGACCTGCTCTGATGGTTCTGTTGATTCTTCTCGGACTGCCAGACCCCCTCATGCGTGTTGCTGTTTTCTTTTCTGCCCCACCCTCTCTTGCATGGCAGTGGCTCTTGGAGTAGTGAAAAGGGCAGTGGCTTTGGCTCCCAAGGGCTGGTGGTGTGACAGCCAGCCTTTTTCTTCCCCGCTTCGTCCTGCTGGTTCAATATCGGAGGTGGAGAAGCTTCAACTCATAGGTGTAGCTTTTTCTTATGGGGACCAGAGGAAAGCTGGGGGATAGGCTTGTCCCGGGTTGCACCTGACCTCCATGCAGAAATGGTCATCAGACTGTGACATAATTGTACACGGCTCAAGAAACATCATATGGGGCCCTGGCACGGTGGCTCACACCTGTAATCCCAGCACTTTGGGAGGCCGAGGCGGGTGGATCACTTGAGGTCATGAGTTCAAGACCAGCCTGGCCAACATGGTGAAACCCCATCTCTGCTAAAAATACAAAAACTAGCCGCATGTGGTGGCGGGCACCTGTAATCCCAGCTACTGGGGAGGCTGAGGCAGGAGAATCACTTGAACCTGGAAGGTAGAGGTTGCAGTGAGCCGAGATCACACCACTGGACTCTAACCTGGGGGACAAGAGCGAGAGTCTGTCTCAAAAAAAAAAAGAAAAGAAAAGAAAAAAAAAGCAAAGAAGCATTGTATGGTATCATATATTCTTCTTGCTTTTGCCAAACCTCATAAAAACAGGTGCATCATATTATTTTCCCTCAACTGTATCCCAAACATTGAAGACAGTCCTTGGCACATAGTAGGTACTTATTAAATATTGTTTGAAGGAGTAAGCAGGTGGATGTATGAAGCATGATGGAAGCCCTTGAAGAGATAGAAGGTACTCAACTAGGAAAAGTCTTGTTCTGTGGCGGGAGGGCAGGGGGGGTGCTAAGCATGGCACCAAGAGGTCCCCAGCCCTGTTCACAAAACACATGAGTTTGGATTGATGCGTATTTCATTAGCCAAAAATAAAAAAGTCATGTAGAAATCAAGGTGGCGACACAGGGATAGGAACAGATGTGGCTGTTCTCAAAGCTGCACCTGCTGTCTCCAGAGCTGCGGTGTGGAGGGGGTGTCGGGGGACTGTGCCTGTCAGCTGCACTGGCGCCATCTGCATGGGTGGGGGGGCTCTTGTGGGGTCCAAGGAGCACATTATGAATGCTGCGGGGCTTATGTTACCTTCAGGAAGAAGGTAACTGCCTGTGTCTTTAATGCAGTGTAAGGCTCTAGGCTCTTCTTGGTTCTCATTCAAGCCAGACTGGCTGGAAACAGAATCTTCCTGGGGTGAGGTGGGGCGGGGGTTGAACCAGAATTAGTGCCCAGGGGTCTCTGAACACCCTTGTGTTCAGCATCTGTCTCCCAGCATCCCAGAAGGTTCGTCCATCTCCCCAGCGGAGGGGTACCGGGACTTGCACCCACCCTGCGCGGGAAGTGACTTAGTAGAGAGGAAGTGTGACGTGCGCATGGGGGCCGCTTATTCCCTTCTGTTCTTACGCTGTTTATTTCTCAATTTTATTAAAGCCGTCACTGTCTCAGATCCTGTTATCATAGCCCAATAAGTGGAAGGAGAATAAAGATAGGGGTGCTTTTTCACTGCCGTCTTGAGAAAGAGGAGACGCGAGTTCCGTGGGCATCTGTGGTTCCCATGAAATGTAGCTCAGGCGTTGATGTCAGCCCTGGCCTCAGACCCTGTCCTACCAGGAAAAAAGGAACAACTGCTATTTCGGGCAGCTGCCAACTCCTCTCGCCACCTGCTGGGGCTCCAGGCAACATGCTCTCATTTTGAAAGGCTAAAAGTCACAGCTTTGTCCTGCTAATACAAAGCGTCCCTTTCTGCCCTTCCCAGGGCTGTAGAAGAGAGAGAAAAAAAAAAAAAAAGAAATAAACTTCACACACATCTCAGACCGCAGAACATTTCTTCCCCCGAAGGGCTGCGAATTTAATAAGGTCAATCCAAACCAAAATTACAGAGTATTTTGGGTAAAATTGTGTCTATGACTGGCTAATCTAAAGAAATACTTTGAGGGCCGGGCGCGGTGGCTCAAGCCTGTAATCCCAGCACTTTGGGAGGCTGAGATGGGTGGATCACGAGGTCAGGAGATCGAGATCATCCTGGCTAACACGGTGAAACCCCATCTCTACTAAAAAATACAAAAAAACTAGCCGGGCGAGGTGGCGGGCGCCTGTAGTCCCAGCTACTCAGGAGGCTGAGGCAGGAGAATGGCGTGAACCCGGGAGGCGAAGCTTGCAGTGAGCTGAGATCCGGCCACTGCACTCCAGCCTGGGCGACAGAGCAAGACTCCGTCTTAAAAAAAAAAAAAAGAAATGCTTTGAGAAAAAAAAAAAATATATATATATATATATAAAAAAAACATTCTCTATGAAAAACCTGGAAAGTCAAATCCTTGAGATGCTTTCTAACTCCTTTCGGAGGTAATGGGCATTCTGCTTCTTCCCACTCCCACCATTTCTCCTGGGGTGCTTGGTTGATGTGCACCTTGCCTCCCCTGTGTTCCTGCAGCATTCACTCCCCTGCACCTCGTTCCTTTGCCCTTCCTGAGCTCTCACCCGCGCACCTGACAATCCCTGGCCCCTCTCTGTGTCACACATCGTGTTGGCTGTGCCGCTAACAGGGGGCTTTTTATGGCAGCAGTTCTGCTCCCTTTTAGAGCTTCTCTGTTTCATAGTTCGTTCAGGCTGTTAGAACAGAATTCCACGCCTGGGCAGCTTATCCACAACAGACATTTCTTCCCCACAGTCCTGCAGGCTGGAAGTCTGAGATCAGGGTGCCGGCATGATGGGGCTCTGGAGAGGTTCTTCCGGGCTGCAGACAGCTTCATGTGTCCACACATGGCAGAAAGAGAGCTGACTAGTTCTTTAGCCAGAAGGGCGCTAATCCCATTCACGAGGGCTCCACCCTCACGACCTAATTACCACCTTATAATACCATCATCTTGGGGATTAGAGTTTCAATGTATGAATCTCAGGGGACACAAACCTTCAGTCCACAGCACCCTCAAACACTAGGATGAAGTGGCACAGTGAAGTAGCCACCCGTGGGGCAGACTTCAGAGGTCACCTTGCAACGTTTCTCCAAATGTGTGTGACTGTCCTTGTGCCATGTGGACTGTGTGTTTCAGTTGTGCCAGGTGGATTTTGTGTGTTTCAGCTGAAGGTTTCTTTCTCAGTGATTGCAAGCATCATGTAAAACAAAGCTTTTTTTTTTTTTTTTCTTGAGACAGAGTCTCGCTCTGTGGCCCAGGCTGGAGTGCAGTGGCGTGATCTCGGCTCACTGCAACCTCTGCCTCCCGGGTTCATGCCATTCTCCTGCCTCAGCCTCCCGAGTAGCTGGGACTACAGGCGCCCGCCACCACACCCGGCTAATTTTTTTGTAGTTTTTAGTAGAGACAGGGTTTCACCGTGTTAGCCAGGATGATCTCGATCTTCTGACCTCGTGATCCGCCCACCTCGGCCTCCCAAAGTGCTGGGATTACAGGCGTGAGCCACTGCGCCCAGCCAAAACAAGGCATTTTAATGGTACAGTGACTGATGACTGAAAATTTCTTTCCTTTTTTTTTTTTTTTTCTTGAGTTGGAGTCTTACTCTGTTGCCCAGCCTGCAGTGCAGTAGCGTGATCTCAGCTCACTGCAACCTCCGCCTCCTGGGTTCAAGCGATTCTCCTGCCTCAGCCTCCTGAATAGCTTGGATTACAGGCATGTGCCACCATGCCAGGCAAATTTTTGTATTTTAGTAGAGACAGGGTTTCACCATGTTGGTCAGGCTGGTCTCAAACTCCTGACTTTGTGACCCACCTGCCTCGGCCTCCCAAGACTGAGAATTTCTTAAGCAAAAATACATAACCTTGGTTGTACATGTTCCTTTTAGAAATGTTGAGATATAGGAAACAAGAAAAAAAAATCCATCACAAACAGCACTGCCATGGCCCTATCCACACCTTGTTTTTGGCATCTATTTCTCTATTCTTATTTGTATGTTTTCACATGCATGCATAATACATGCACGTGTATGTATTTTTACAAGTTGTATAGGTTGGTGCAAAAGTAATTGCGGTTTTTGCCTTTTTTTTTTTTTTTTTAAATACATTTTTTTTTTTTTTTTCTTTTTTAGCCCAGGGTAGGATATCAGTTTCTTGCATTTGAAAAATACAAGGACCTAATATGACCTAGAAAAGCAGAACTTTTGCTGGGCATTCCGTTTCATGGGAATATTTAAAGATGGATGAAACTCATGTTCATTCTTAGGGCTAGATGCCCGTGAGACTGAGCGTTGCCAGGTATCTGTGCTGCCCAGCATGTAGATACCTTCTTTGGCACTGGCTTACCCTGTGGCTTCAAACGTGTAAGTGGATATTGAGGAAGAGTGGGTGAAACCATGGCTGTTCCCCAAAGGCGGGAACCCTTTGTGGCTTCTTCACTGCTGTGTCTCCAGTGCTCAGCGGAGTGCCCCCCACATCAGCGGTGCTCAGTGAACGTTAGATGACTGGCATTTAGCTGTAGGGTGGCTTGTACACTGACAGTCTTTCTGTCTCTTTCAGGAGGGCTGGAGCCCAGGCGTTTGGTGCGGGGCGTGAAAGGCAGAAGCATTAGCATGAAGGCACCCACCGCTTCCCGAGCCAAGCAGGGACCGTTCAAGACCATGCCTCTGCGATGGTCCTTTGGATCCAAGGAGAAACCACCAGGTGCCTCTGTCGAGTTGGTGGAGTACTTGGAATCCAGACGAAGACCTCGGTCCACGAGCCAGTCCATTGTGTCGCTGTTGACGGGCACTGCGGGTGAGGATGAGAAGTCAGCATCGCCGAGGTCCAACCTTGCCCTTCCTGCTAACAGCGAAGATGGTGCGCGGGCCATCGAAAGAGGTCCGGCCGGGGTGCCCTGTCCCTCGGCTCAACCCAACCACTGTCTGGCCCCTGGAAACTCAGATGGTCCAAACACAGCAAGGAAACTCAAAGAAAATGTAGGGCAGGACATCAAGCTTCCCAGAAAGTTTGACCTGCCTCTCACTGTGATGCCTTCAGTGGAGCATGAGAAACCAGCTCGACCAGAGGGCCAGAAGGCTATGAACTGGAAGGAGAGCTTCCAGATGGGAAGCAAGAGTAGCCCCCCCTCCCCCTATGTGGGATTCTCTGGAAACAGCAAAGACAGTCGCCGAGGCACCTCTGAGCTAGACAGACCCCTGCAGGGGACACTCACCCTTCTGAGGTCCGTGTTTCGGAAGAAGGAGAACAGGAGGAATGAGAGGGCAGAGGTCTCTCCACAAGTGCCCCCCGTCTCCCTGGTGAGTGGCAGGCTGAGTCCTGCCATGGACGGGCAGGTTCCAGGCTCACCTCCTGCCCTCAGGATCCCAGAGGGCCTGGCCAGGGGCCTGGGCAGCCGGCTTGAGAGAGATGTGTGGTCAGCTCCCAGCTCTCTCCGCCTCCCTCGTAAAGCCAGCAGGGCCCCGAGAGGCAGTGCACTGGGCATGTCACAAAGGACTGTTCCAGGGGAGCAGGCTTCTTATGGCACATTTCAGAGGGTCAAATACCACACTCTTTCTTTAGGTCGAAAGAAAACCTTACCGGAGTCCAGCTTTTGATGGAGCGTATCAGTATTGTGTGATGCTGGCGTTCTTGGGACTTTGCCAAGCAACTGTAGGCAGCTTGTGTTGAAAGTGGGTTTCCAGGAAGCCAGTTGTCTTGTAATCCCTTAAAAAATTTTTTTTGTGTGTGTGGGGGGGTCTCCATATCTAGACTTCTAACACCCAAGGTCCACATAACCCAAGGTCCAAAACCTTCCTGTATCATTGGGTGCTTTGCTACAGTCTGGCCACTAGAGGATGCTATTGGGTCAGTATTACCAGTTTCAGGGCAAGAACTGATATTTACTAAAGAGCTTTGGATATGGGCAAACAAGGTGAGCCTGGTGAATAAGAATCTTCAATGTCATGTCAAATACTGTCATTGGCTTTTCCTTTTTCTTTCTTTCTTTTTTTTTAAACATTGTCGACTTAAATAAAAATATTTTATTTTTAATGCTTTTCTGGGATAAGCATTAAAGATACCAAAAAAAAGATAAAAAAAAAAAAGAATGATAGCGATGGTAAGCCAAGATTCTAGCAGAGAGAGATGGGAGATAAATGGCTGAGAGTTCAGGTGAATATTTAATATATTACAAATTGTATTAAAGTTTTTCAAGGTATTTTAAAAATAACTATTTTGATACTAGAAAAAAATGTTCATTTTTTTAATTTAAATATGAGATCTATGTACAATTTTAATAAAATCCTGTCCATGAAACACGCATGGCTGTCTGAATTATTCAGGTTTGATAAATGACCTTGTTTCATTCCTGCTGAGTGAACTTGGTTCGTTGCTTGCTATTGCTATCAGAAAGTAGTTACTTGAATTCTTTCTAAAATCTAAAAGTGCTTTTCGTTCCAATGCCTTGCTGTTTTCTAAAGAAGCGGAAGCCTCCTCAGGCCTCTCTCTGAAGGGCTTGTACTTGAAAAGACGTGAGTTCCACATCTGCCTGACAGATAATTAGTTGACTGTCCCATTTCCTAAAGGTCTGCACACTCTTCAGTAGCGACTCTTACAAATATCCTATCATTTCTGACTTAGAAGCTGCTAAGCCTGACCCCAGGCCTGGGGCCCAACAGTTGAGGTCACCTGTACTTAAGCAGTCGTTTTTCTGCAAATACTTCCTTTTTTGACAGGAAACATTTGTTCAAGACACCTGATCCCAAGAATTAAGTCTTCCCTCATACATATAGCATGACTCATCGACAAGTCTCTGCTACATTTTTTTTTTCCTTAAGAAGGAAGAATGGGCTGGGTGTGGTGACTCACGCCTGTAATCCCAGCACTTTGGGAGGCTGAGTAGGGCAGACCACCTGAGGTCAGGAGTTCAAGACCAGCCTGGCCAACATGGTGAAACCCTGTCTCTACTAAAAATAACAAAAAATAGCTGGGCGTGGTGGCGTGCACCTGTAATCTCAGCTACTCAGGAGGCTAAGGCAGCAGAATTGCTTGAACCCAGGAGGTGGAGGTTGCAGTAAGCCAAGACTGCGCCATTGCATTCCAGCCTGGGCGACAGACTGAGACTCCATCTCAAAAAGAAAACCACACACACACAAAAAAAAACCAAAAAAAAAACAAACAAAAAAAAAACCAGAAAAACAAGGAAGAATGGAGTCCTTTTTTTTTTACCCCAGTGAAAAAGACAACTTACCTTTGATCAAAGCAACAGTTAGAAGGTAGAACTGAGATAATAGAGAAAGCAAGAAGACCCAGCCACCTGACCCCAGAGGGCAATATGGATACCAGTAAACCTGTGTGTTTGCATTGCAAAAGAAGTCCATGTTCTCTTCAAGTCTTACACTGAGGTGCGCTTAGGCACTGTGGAAGACATGGTTGTCCAAGTCCTCTTGGGTGAATAGGAGTCTAGGAGTCTTCCTGCTTTATCTGGTTCTTTCTCTTCTGTTGACTTTCAGAGCAATTTGTCAGATTCAGTTTCCATGCTCTTCCTAAGCTCAGTCTCACTTTCTTCCTCCTCCAAGAGATTGGATTGGAACGCAGAGATGCACCTCCCTGGCTTCTCTCTGCTAAGGACTCAGCCTTTAGAATAGTCTTGGTTTGTTGGGATATCATGAGAGGGTCCCAGGCCTTAGCAGGGTTTTCTGTAACACATTTACTGTAGGCTCTGAACCGTGGAGATTCAGGAAGAGGTAATTACACTTGACCCCTGATGAATATCTATCCATCTGGGGTCTGCAACAAGGATGCCTGAGGCACCCTTGCATCCCCTTCCCTGAGGTCGCTTCTCCCTCTAGAAGGACCCGGTAGAAGGCTGTGAGAACAGAGCATGGGAAATGGTTGAGTCCAATTTCTGCCTGGATTGGAGGCAATAGGGTCATGGTTCCAACCTTGGCCATGCATCTGATGATAGGCTGCAGGCTTCTGGTCAAGTGATCCTTGAGGAGAAAGCATGGGAGAGCCATTGGATGGTTTTTTCCTATCACAAAGATCCTCCTGGGGATTTCCAGCTAGGAGTTAGAGAAAAGTTGAAAGCCATTGAGCCAGAGAGGAGCATAGCCAGAAATGGAGCTAGCTCAGGATGGCCAAAGGGGCCTCCCATTCTTTCTCTGGAAGCTCAGATCCTCGCCTGGGTCTGTTCCTGCTGTCCGAGGCTTGGTTGCCAGGTCCGACCTGCAGACCCTGGCCAAATGACGGATGAAGGAAGGCACTCAGACACAGATATCCACTGAAAGAGCAGGCTAGGGGACCGGGCCACTTACAGACCCCGAGGAGGGTGCTGTGAAGAGTCAGCAGCCACAGCCTCGACAAGCTGGCCCTGCGGCATTTATTCAGCACAGATTTAATGACAAAGTCTTTGAGTCAACACACTTGTGGGTAATCAGCATGGTCACCCTCCCCAGAGAAAGCAGTCCTGTGTGGATGATTAAAGGATGATTAAAGGCCAGGTTCCTTGTGACAGAAAACCAAACACCACATATTCTCACTCATAAGTGGGAGTTGAACAATGAGAACACATGGACACAGGGAGGGGAACGTCACACACTGGGACCTGTTGTAGGGTGGGGATTGGGAGAGAGATAGCGTTAGGAGAAATACCTAATGTAAATGACGAGTTGATGGGTGCAGCAAACCAATGTGGCCCATGTATACCTATGTAACAAACCTACACATGGTGCACATGTACCCTAGAACTTAAAGTATAATAATAACATTTTTAAAAGGCCAGGTTCCAAGGCCTAAGTAAACGAACTTATCTAGATCAGTTTCTTTACATCCCCTTATTATCTAACCTAAGCTTTCAGGCAACGAATAAGAGAACCTGGCTGCCTTCAGCCAAATCCTTTTCCGAAGCTTTGTAAAACCTCTTGGCCTTCCAAGAAGCTTTGCATCTTTCTACAATTTTCCCTATCACCCTGACCAGTCTCCTACACTTGGTCACTGGTCTGATGGTCACAACCCATTCCTGACTCCTAAAGTGTCTCCCAGGTTTGAGGCCCGCCTCCTTAATCCTCCACTCCTGCTCTTTTCCACTAGTGGAAGGAAGGTCTTGCAAGTCTAGAATCTTGGGCTGAGCAGTCATACAGGTAGTGCCAAAAGCTTCAAGGGCCCGCAGGAACAAAGAAGAAAGCCAGGAAGTCTAGAGGAGGAGAGGCCATAGCACATAGGAGTCATATAATTACAGTTCTAGCTACATCTCGTCAGTAGGATATCCCCTGCAGAGAGGCACCACCAGCATGATGTCCTGAGGAATGGTGAGCTAATCAAGCACGTGCTGACTTGATTTCATTCTAGAGTTGCAGAGATCGTAGTTAATAATTACCGCTGAGGAGCATTGATATAGTAGTACTTAACTGTGGGCAAGACACTCTTCTAAGCACTTTACGATATTAACTCATTTAATTCATGATAAACTTTTGAGGCAGGTACTGGAAAAATGGCCAGTTCAACCAGCATACTCTAGATACAAGTCCTTTTCATCAGTATCTTTGAAATAAGTATCTTTGAAGTATATTTTTCCAGCCTGTGACTTGTTTCATAAGTATCTTTGAAATATATTTTCCCAACCTGTGACTTGCTTTCTTATTATCTTAACATAGTTTTTTGAAGAGCAAAGTTTTTGAGTTTGAAACAGTCCAATTTATCAATATTTTTTGGTAGTTTGTATCTTTCAAGGAATTTGCAAATTTTGTCTAAGTTGTTCAATTTACTGGAACAAAAAAATCCCAATATTATTCTGTGGGAATCTGTCTAATCTGTAGTAATGTTACCTCTCTCATCCTGGATATTGGGAATTTGGGTCTTCTCTCTTTTTTGCCTGATTACTCTGGCTAGAAGTTTATCAATTTAAAAAAATCTTTTCAAGAATCAGCATTTGGTTTCCTTGATATTTGTGTGTGTGTGTGTGTGTGTGTGTGTGTGTGTGATTTCTATCTCATTTCTGAGATTGCTGTTTTTATGTCTATTACATCCTTTCTCCTAATTGATTTGGATTTAATTTACTTTTTCTATTTTTTTTAGTGAACACTGATGTAACTGATCTGAGATCCCTTTTCTTTTTTCTTTTTTCTTTTTTTTTTTTTTTTGAGACAGAGTTTTGCTCTTATTGCCCAGGCTGGAGTGCAGGCTCACTGCAACTTCCACCTCCTGGGTTCAAGTGATTCTCCTGCCTTAGCCTCCTATGTAGCTGGAATTACAGGCACTTGCCACCAAGCCCAGCTATTTTTTTGTTTTGTTTTGTTTTTGTTTTTTTTTTTAATAGAGATAGAGTTTCACCATGTTGGCCAGGCCGGTCTTGAAACTCCTGACCTCAGGTGATCCATCCACTTTGGCCTCCTAAAGTGTTGGAATTACAGGCGTGAGCCACTGCGCCCAGCCCTTTTCTTCTCTAATATAGACATTTATTGTTATAAATTTCCTTGATTCTCCAAATTCCATGTTGTGTTTTCATTTCCATTCAGTTCAAAGTACCCTCTGATTTCCCTTTTGATTTCTCTTTTGACCCGTGGGCTATTCAGAAGTATGTTTTTAGCCTGAGGGCCAGAAGTGGTGACTCCATATTCCTCTCTGGTGGTGGAAATGTGAGATTCAAATGTTGTGTATGACGACGTGCCCACCCTGTGGAAATGCTGATCCTCATCGGAAGACAACGAGGTGGAGCTGCAGAGAGAAGAGGTGGGAAACACACTGGAAGTATTATTCTCTTAGTCCATTTAGTTCCCACCTGTGCTGACGTTTCTTCATCTTCACCCATCTTATCTTTTTCTTCTTCTCTTCTGATGTTCTGTTTGCTTTGCTCATTTATCTAGGCCCCTCCATTTAGTCCATTTTCTGGATGAAGAACGCTGGTTAGTGACAGAATAGTGAAAAAAAAAAAAAAAAGATCAAATTTTAAGAACATGTCCCCCACCCCCTTTTTCCTTTTTTCTTTCTTTTTTTTGAGATAGAGTCTCGCTCTGTGGCCCAGGCTGGAGTGTAGTGGCGCGATCTCGGCTCACTGCAACCTCTGCCTCCCGAGTTCAAGTGATTCTTCTTCCTCAGCTTCCCGAATAACTGGGACTACAGACGCCCACCACCACGCCCGGCGAATTTTTTGTATTTTTAGTAGAGACGGGGTTTCACCGTGGTCTCGATCTCCTGACCTCGTGATCCGCCTGCCCGGCCTCCCAAAGTGCTGGGATTACAGGCGTGGGCCAAAGCGCCCGGCCGGTCCCCTTTTCAATGAGGTATTTTGGGGTTTGTCTTCAGTAGCGGTGCTTTTC